GGCTAAAAACAACACCGTTTTCATGCTCCAGCCACCGTATTCACCAGATTTGCCCCCCTGCAACTTTTTTGTTTTCAAGATTGAAGAAGCCCATGAAAAGATGGCGTTTTGCGACGATTGAGAAGATAATAACCGAATAGCTGAGAAAGCTCAAGGACATATCAGAACTGCTTAGAAGATTGGAAAAAATACTGGCACAAGTGTATAATATACTGGCACAAGTGTATAATATACACTTATGCCAGTATTTTTTACACATATAAACAAGAATTGATGAATAAATTCCTCGGTTACCTCAGTTTTTGACAGCGTATGATAAGGAAAACTGTAGAATGGAAAACAAAAATAGATAAATTCTCACAAAGCCGGAGAGTCTAAGGCCATTAAGATGGTTTAATTGAATATTTTCTGCAACATTAAAGTAAACGATGGTAACGGTATCGACTACTATGATCCATAACCTCATGTCCTGCATGGACTATCTTTTTTCTATCAATTTTTTACGGAGAGATAATACATTTTTTTCACTAGTATCAAACTAATGTCAACAGGAATAATTTAAGCTACGAATTCACTTCTGAATGATAGTTCACGGAACTGTCTTAGGCGAATTCAGCTTCTATATCATAATTGATGGATTATTTTGAAATAATTTTTCTTATATCGACACGTGGTAAGATATGGCTGCTTTGCAAACTGACCTGTCACAGAACTACAACAACGACGTTTGGTTTCATAATTTACTATCCAAACCTAAATGGAAACTTCTCGGTATTATATTAATGAAACTGCCGGTATTTCATTACAGAATCGTATGCCGTAATTACATTTCATAGACTATAAAATTCAATCTCGAAGGCACTAGCAATCCAGTTATTTCGAAATGGAGCTAAAGGCAACCCATAAAGTGAAGAATTGAATTACAGCAGAAGGAAAAATAACGAACTACCTCCTTTCGCAATCCAGCAAGAAAGAACAGTCGATTGATTTCCTGAATTTGGGGAATACTTCGCCATTGTGTCTTCAATTTTCAATTTAGAAACGAATGAAATGTGCAGGAAGCTCGGGAAATTAGAAAATTAGTTAAGTTTTCGGGCATCCAACAAAAGCTTCATTTCGAGGGTAATTGATTCGAGTTGAGGCTATAATGAAGTTCTTCTTCTGATTTTATTTTTATGCTAATCATATTAAGAGAGATAAAGACACAATAATGGATTTTGCCACGACTATAAAAAAATATTGGAGGGATAAAGAAATGTGAAGATGAATAGACAGATATAATATTCGTTTCCCAAAATACCGTGCCATAAGTATAGTATAGTTATACATATATAAGGAATTAGGGAAATTTCGGATATGTGGTTGGTTACCTCTTTCACAGGCAGATGAAGCGATGACAAATATGTTGTTTGTCGTCCGTTTCAGCCTAGTTCGAGGAATGATACACTGATTTTCAATAATTGGAAATCATCGACTTTATGTTGATGATAGACACTAACTTGCACTGAAGAATGGCCAAAGAGTCCGAAGCCGGTCTGCAAGTGTGTTCCAATAATTGAAAATCGATTGCACCAGAAGTTTCCACTGATACTGCTATTGAAAGAAAGACACCACTCATTTTCTCAACTATCATTGGAACTTTACATGAACTTTTCACATACATCCTGTGTTAGGATCTGAACTAAACTTTTGAAGAACGATAAGGTAAACCGCAATTTTGCGATTAACCTTATTCTGAAAATATTATTAGTGATAACGGTGACATTGTGAAATGGAAAATATGTAGGTACTCCTAGTAAATAGCGACAACACTAATTCCGCAAAGAAACGTGTTAGCAATCACACGTTGAAAGGTAAGACCTCGTTAGTCCTTAGCTCGCACAAGTTTCTCAACTTCTGAGAGTCCTTGTTCGTATGAAAGCGACTGCTGATTAACGAAAAAAACAGATGTTTAAACAGATTTTCAAACAGATCTGACACATAGAGTAAAGAGAAATATTACGTTTATTGTTTAAAAAAATTATAGAAATTTGGTAAACTGGGAAATGAATAATTTTCTCATGAATATATCTCCTTTACAACTGACTGTTTCATAGATAATTAATTTCAACACTGGGTGGTGATATCAATAGTATTGACATTTGAAAAAAATAATTTTTATTTTCTGAAAAGTGTTCTACAACTTCGCCTTTTCAATTCGAAGGAATGATACTCTTAAATGAGTATACAGTGTATTTCTTTAATGTCCCCCCCTTTTATTTTTTGAACGTTTCAACTCCAAAAATTGAAATTTGGAATAATGAAATTAATGCATGAATACTTTATTTTGAAGTGAAATTGACAGATAAAACTTTCAAGATGGCGACTGGGTGCCATCTGGGAAAAAAATTAAATGGAAAAATATTTGAGGGAACTTGTATCCAAATTCACAACTTTTTCAATGGGATTTTTGAAACAGAAGGTATACGAAACTAAACCTGCTTCAATATTGGACATACAGCAGAGAATAACGAATATTTTTTGCAGGTGTCCCTCAAGGGTCTATCCTTGGCCCTGCATTATTCGTGATATATACGTCACAATGTCCCAGATGTCTCAAGTATACTAAAATTCACGATTACGCAGATGACACTCAAAATCTATATGCGATTTTCTGAAAGTTCACTGGCAATAGCTTGCCGACAAATCAACCAAGATCTGAATTCGTTATTAACCACCTCCAAAAAATACTGTCTAAAACTGTTGCCATGCTATTCGGGAGGACAGCAATGAGAAAAAGATGTCAAAATCAAGTTTCGATTCTTCTTGATAATGGTAATCTTAGTTTGTCTGAGCAGACTGAAAATCTTGGTCTCACAATAGATCAGTCTCTCAGATTTTCACCTCATGTTTCACTAATTCTGAAGAGGTGATATTGCAGCTTGAAAACTATATATTCGAATAGGGAGATTCTCAATAGAGTCCAAGAAATTGCTGTGTGATTCCTTGGTACTATCTCACGCAAACTACGCGGATACTGTGCCCAAGTTTGTCACAGTCTGACAAAAGAAGACTACAAACTTTGCAGAATTCTTGTTTAAGACTTATCACTGTAACAAAAAGGCGACAACCTATTTCTCATCATTTGAGTAGTCTAGGATGGCTGAATATGGAGGCCCGAAGGATATTCCTTCTTGCATTTCATTTCATAATATAATCTCTACGAAAGTATCGAGTTATCTTTATGAAAAGATCAGCTTCCGCACCGATGTTCATCACCTGAACTTGGGATTCAAACATCATTTAGCCACTCCATCCTATAAAACTTCATTATTTTGATGCTCCTTTTCATATAATATATCTCGGCTGTATAATCGACTTTCTGACTCATTGAAGTCACTGTCGCTTGCAAAATTCGGAAAAAAGCTGGAAGATGATTTACTTTCAAATGAATTTCTTCTACCAAATTTATTGTCTAGCTGTAAATAATGATCCACTTATATATGTTTGTATATAAATGCCTATGTGTATATACATGCAAATATCTGTTCCTAGGTGAAATAATTAGCCAACATTTTTCTGTTTCTTTACTAGTTTTCATTATCGTTTTGTAGGCGAATTATTAGTTAACATTTTTCCATTTTTATTGTTTTTTTATTGTCGTTCATTGAACGAATTAAGGATAGGTGATAGCATAAGTGGTTAATGATTAGAATTCATTTGTGATTATTGTTATGAAAACGGTTGAATGGAAGAGCAAGTGCTGATTGCGTTACTCAAATGACAAGATCAACTATTTTTTTATTGTTTTTTCATTGTCGTTCATTGAACGAAATAAGGATAGGTGATAGCATAAGTGGTTAATGATTAGAATTCATTTGTGATTATTGTTATGAAGACGGTTGAATGGAAGAGCAAGTGCTGATTGCGTTACTCAAATGACAAGATCAGAACCTGAATTCTGTCTTTTGACAAAAATGTAGGATATCATTCAAGAACTGCCTGTTTTTTTGTGTATCTACTATATGTTATTATTATTATTATTACCGTTTCGAGCATTTTCTGAACTGACCTCAAGCCTATTACCTCATATTATGTAGTTGAATGTCAATGTATTCAAAAAAATATTAAAATTTCCCACCATTTTGTAGTAGTTGAAGATATTGACATTATATCCTAGGGTTGTGAAGCATTTGTAAGGAGCTTCAAAAACGTGTGTCAAAAGACCTCTCTTTCCATTTTTTCCCCAGATAGCGCCCAGTCGCCATCTTGAAAGTTTCATCTGTCAATTTCACTTCCAAATAAAGTATTCATGCTCATTTTGCCAAATTTCAAACTTTTGAGTTGACCTGTTCACAAAATAAAAAAGGGGGGACATTAAAGAAATGCACGGTATGTGTTTCTGGAGTCAAATCAATCACCAAAGTATTCGACACAAATACTTCTTTCACACAAATGAACTGCAACACGATTTTCAACGTGCGTTCACCAACGCATCAGCAGACGAACTGTACTTTATATTATACATATAAAGAAGCGTCGATAATAGTGTTTCAGTATCTGGTGGGTGACCAGGATTCTGAATATGTATCAGAAAAATCTACTTGTGATACACTGTTTGGAATCTTTGGTGTAGTAATGCCTATTACTGGGTTTTTTTCCCAACACAGAATCGTTATTTTTATCACCTCGACACGTGTTTCGATTACCAAGTGATCATCTTCAAGAGATAGATCAAAGTAACCAGTTAGTTTGATCTTCCCCTTGAAGATGATAACTTGGTGATCAAAACACGTGCAGAGGTGTTGAAATAACGGTTTGGTGTTGGGAAAAACTCCAGTAATATTCATCAGGATAATCTAACTAAACAAGAACTTCTCAATAATAAACAAATCAGCTACAGAGATGTTTAAACTGGTTTAGCAGAGTTTGGTTTTTGATTTCTCATAATGACTATGTTCATGATATCTGTAGCTTTTCTCATTTCTCAAATTTGAACTGGGGTGAAATGAATAGCAAAATACGTTTTATGAATAATTTATTGTGAAATAAGCCAGTTTTAGATACGTTTCGACAAATACAGTTCATTCCTTCGTGATCAATTGATACGACACTGCTATATTGGCAGCTTGACCACCTAGGTCTGAAATATCATTGCCCAAGAAGATACCAGCAATATGATGTTCTTCGAGTTGGAAGTCCGTGTGGATATCCCGAGCATCTATTTTGGTGCCAAAACCCATAACGCGACCGTCAGAAAGTGCAAACTCCAAGTAATCCAAAGCTCCATTACCCCAGACACTCAATCTTGTGCAGTAAGCATCTTTCAAAGACACGTAATGTTTCTCGGCAGACCATACTCCCAAATCAGACGTATCTCCATTTTCAAAATAGATCTTGAGCCCCCCGATTTTGGGAGCGCCACCTCCATTGTTGATCCTCCACATCCAGACATCAATCCCTGTGATCTTATTGCGTTTTCCGTCGACGAGCTTCGGTTGGAGTGGCTGCGGCACCACTTCTGGAACAATTTGCCTGGCTTGGATAGGGGTGGGCCTGCCGAACACTGTGGAGTAAGTTATGACGTCATTGTAAGGTTTGGTTTCCGACTCCGGGTGTTCCAATATATTATTCCAGTAAGCGAAGTATTCAGTTCCGTTGAGTCCACAATATGTCCGCACAGTGACCAAGGCGTCGTAAACCTGGTCTGGAATACAGTTGTTCAGCTGGTATTCGATGCGGTCATTCAAGACGCTCGTAATGTGCTCAATAGCACCACCTGATCCTTGAATTAGCCTCTTAGAGTAGTTCTTGAGCCTCTGCACATCTTCGTCTGAGAGCCCAATTTGCTTTTGGTTCATAATACCGAATTGGTTGAAAGTCATTTTCAGGGATACCACCGAAGAATACATGGGGAGTAACAGAAAGTTTATTTCACCAGCTCTGGAGTTATCCTCCTTCCTGAATATAAACTTCTGCTCAAATCCTATCAGGTCCTCCGCTATATTCATGAAGTGACCAGAAACGTCCTCGTGTCTCTCCAAGTCCTCTTCAAGCACTTGAATCCTCTCCTTGTAGTGCCTGAGGTCGCCTCCCAGGATTCCTGTGATAACTTCATTGGTTTTAGTATCAATCAGATCTTTGACTTGGTCCTTGACTTGGTCCCAAATGCTAGGTCCATGTGCTGGCCAGAAGAATCCTACCAAGGGAGCTAGATACTCTCCTACGATTGGTATTTTTCCGACTCCAAATTGAACCATTATTTTGGCCAATTCATTAATCTTCATTTTGGGATCCCAATTGTTCTCTTTATTCGTGTACCAAGGGTAGTTATTGCCCTGGTATCCTACGTGAACCAGAGCTCTGGTGTTGCTGTTGTCATTCGCCAGATTAACTCCTACGACATAGTATAGCTTGCCCTGCATGTCCAGAATTTTTGATTCTCCGGGCTGAACTGTTGCTTTAGTTACTGTTCCTAACCACTGCACTGCAGTTCCATATTTGCCCTCTGCTCTCACCGGTACTCGTCCAATATTGTAGAGTTGGAAATTTTTCCTCACTTTAGGAAAAAGGCCGGAATCGCTTCTCAGAACCATTCTGTTAGTCTTTGGTTCAACTCCGAAACAGTTGAGGTTGTATCTTTGATTGGATCCCATTGTTTGCGTGAGTACCTGAAACAGAACGTACTTGTATTGAAATCACAGAAAAAAAGATTGCAGTTACATGCAATTATCAGAAGCCTATCCTTAGACTTATTATGTGAAGCTTAGTACAGACATGTGTGCAATTCAACTGCTGCAACTGTTGAAAAAACATGCAATCGAACGTTCTGGAATAGGATCTGAAGTAGTTATTTTGATGACATCTTCCAGAGTGCTTGGCTATCTATTTGTTCCATGAGTTGACGGCAGAAAGAAGTGAATCGGAGTTCGTGAATGAAGGATTTTAGAAAAAATATCTATCGTAGATATTCTCAAGTGATTTATCACTTGGCATGGGAAAAAATAAAGTGGAATATCCGTACAAAAATAAAAATCTGAACTGAATGTTACCTATTTCTCTAGAGAACGGAAAAGTACTTGCTTTAG